ATATAGTATATATACACAAGATATGATATGATATATAGTATATGTATAATAGATACTTGACTATACAAGAAGATATACATACAATAGATAATATCTTATATATTGTTATATAATAATATAATAATAATAATAATAATAATAGTAATAGTAATAATTGTAATATATAGTATATAATAATAACAATAATTGTAATAACAATATAATATTATTATATAATAATAATATATTGTATAAATATGATATATAATATCAACATGGTTCATATTAACACATATCATAGTATATGATGAAGTATATGTTCCCCAGATTTAGTCCAGTTCTGTGATTGTGCATCTGACAGAGGCAGATGAGTTATACAGTCTTATAAATGGTAAATGGTAAATGGACCTGTACTTGTATAGCGCCTTTTTAGTCTTCCGACCACTCAGAGCGCTTTTACACTACGTGCCACATTCACCCTTTCACACACATTCACTCAGTGATGGCAAAGTCCCCCAGAAGCTAACATTCATATACACTCACACACCGATGCACGGCATCGGGAGCAATTTGGGGTTCAGTATCTTGCTCAAGGATACTTTGACATGTGGCACAGGGGGCCGGGGATCGGACCCACAACCATCCGATTAAGGAACGACCCGCTCTGCCTCTGAGCCACAGTCGCCCAGTAGGAAGGAACGATTTTCTGTATCGTTCCTTAGAACAGCGTGGTTGAATGAGTCTGTTGCTGAAGCTGCTCTTTAGCTTGTCCAGTGTTGTGTGGAGGGGGGGGAGGGATTGTCCATGATTGCCAGCAGTTTTGTCAGCATCCTCTCCTCCTCCACCTACTCCAGGGTGACAAGCTTCAAGCCAACAACAGACTCTGCCTTCTTAATGAGTTTGTTCAGTCTGTTGGCGTCCTTTGCCTTGATGCCCGCACCCCAGGACACTGCAGCAAAGAAGATGGTGCTCGCCACAACACACTGATAGAACATCTGCAACATCCTGTGTATGAATGTTAGTTTCTGTTCGATGGACTTTGCCATCACTGTGTGAATGCGTGTGAAAGTGTGTGGCACGTAGTGTAAAAGCGCTTTGAGTGGTCGGAAGACTAGAAAGGCGCTATACAAGTACAGGTCCATTTACCATTTACTTTTTCTTTTAGCATTTTCTTTCATCCATCTCTTCCTCCATACAGAATCTATATAATGATGATACAATTTCAAACCTGTTATGTTCTTTTTTAGTAGCAGAGATTTAAAAAAATATCTTGAGTTGAAAGATTCTGGAGTAGAACTCCATTGTTGTTTTATAAATTGTTCGGAATTTTTTTCCCCATGGTATTAATTCATCATCCTATAAGGAACAGGCTATGTATGGGAAAGCAGCAAGGCATCTGTTCTGTAAAATAAATCTATACATTTATTTCAGTCAGACAACTCACATTTGAAATGTGCTTATTACAGCAGTATAGCATATTTAGATTTTGGTGTCTAGGCTCCGACCTTATCATTCCCTGCAGATATGTTTACATAGAGATATTGGGGAGTGATGAGCAAATACCTTAAACCCAGCTGGAGCCTACAGGTGGATGCTGGGGTGGTGGTGGGGCTTACAGCGCAGCAGTAGCTGCTGAACTAGCTCGCAGGTTTTGCTCCATTTATGAGGTGGCTGTGGAATTCACATGTAGTATCTAATAGATCGTTTATGAAAAATAATTCTCTGACGTGTTTCCCATAAAAATGGCTTCCACTCTATTAACAATTCTGAATCTATCCATATTTATTTATTGTTATTTTTCAGAGTTTGGCTTTAATCCAGATAATTTGGAAAAAAAATTGTGAAGATTTCTTGGGCTGCAGAAAAAAAATTGCATCATCTGCATACAATGTTCTTTTTGTTTCTGTTTGGGGTAAAGAGAGAAGGACAGAGACAAAGGTGCACAGCAACAACAGTAGCAACAACTATACTAATAGAAATGACTGATGAATAAGTTAGTATGGCATGTGCAAAGAATTTAGTTCATTTCGCTATAGGAAAGTGGAAAATAATTTGTGTTTGTGTGGTAAATGGACCTGTATAGCGCTTTCCAATCTTCTGACCACTCAAAGCGCTTTTTCACTACATGGCACATTCACACCCATTCACTCAGTGATGGCAAAGTCAATTGAACAGAAACTAACTCATTTATTCACATTCACACACCGATGACGCAGCATCGGGAGAAATTTGGGGTATTTTGCTCAAGGACACTTCGACATGCAGCGGGAAGAGCTGGGGATCAAACCAACAATCCGATTAGTGGACGACCCACTTTAGCTCTGAGCCACTTGGGCTGGCCAATCAGTTTTCTAATCTCTTTATCAGCCAGTGTTTAATAGATAGTGTCTTTTCACTTTCTCACACCTACTTCTCAACCCATAGGCAATTTTTTTTTCCAAGGATGGTGAAGTAATGACAGAGCCAGAGCAAAGCTGGTCATTACTTTGCCACCCTGTGAAAGAAAATTTAGTATATGTTAGGGTTGTCAACAACGATTCTAAATGTAATTATACAATCAACTTGCAAGAAATAATGCACAGTCGACTACTGTGGCTGTCTGTCTCACAAGTTCTGGGTGGGCCTAGGCCGCTGCACTGACTGGACTGCATGACGGATAGGAGTCACACAACATCACTTTCACTGATTGAAAATCAAAGTAGGTCACGCAACAAGCAAATAATTGAAATACAACTGTGTGGTAATAATGGCAGAAAGTTCACAATCCAACTCTCCTGCAGAGAGGGGGATTTGCACTCCGAGCAATCGAAAAAAATTCAATAGTGCCAAATCATAACAAGAGCTATTGGATACTAGATAACCACAGCAGTTATGGATTTAGCTTCAGTGTGCTTCCAATTCAAGCCTCACATCCAGAACAGAAAATGCGCAACATTTGTTATCACATTTTTATGTACCATTATCACTAAATAGGGGAGAGGAATAGCTAAACTTTTGACACAGAGCAACAAACAAGTAGGACAGAGAGGAGCACTCGCTAACTGCTAGGCTAAGTACTGCCAAGTACTGTAGCTAGCAGAACTGAACAGTGTACAGTTTTGGGGAATTAGCAACAAAGTCGTTAAAAGGAGGGGGCTATTGTGCTTGAGAAGAATTAGTGTCGGTTTAAATGTATTATCCAATGTAATGAAAAATATAACAACATTAACTGGGTTGAGCTACAGCAGCAACTATACCAGCAGCACAGAAAAACTCAACAGGAAATGATACACTGACTGCAATGCGTCACAGGTCATGTCTTTTGGTCAGTAGACGGCATAGACATGTTATGTATTGATTTATGGACATAATGCACAAAAACAGATAAAAAGGTCAGTGGTTCCGAACCTTTTTCCTTAAGGGACCCCTTTTTTTAAATTGACTAAGTGACATATTTAATGGATATTTCATATTATATTGAAATCATAACAATAACAATAGAATACAGAACAACTGATAAAACTGCACAATTGACAGCAGTAAGTTTGTTAGGATGAATTTTGAGCAGATTATTTCCTACAAGCTTTAACTTTTTGACTTTTTATACCTGTATTATATGTTTTTTTATTTTTTAACAATCATACACACTAAATAGGTTTCCTTTTTGACAAATCCATTGTCCTTAAGCTTTGGCTGTTTTTGAACTGCGTACTTTTCTAATGCAGAACAAAGCTGTTTATCAGAGACCAAAGGTTCTGTTGTTCAGGTCTTCAGGTCTTATAAATAATAATATAAATCATATATATTTATATATATTTACTATTTACTGTTTTTACTGACTGTTCTTTTGCACTGTTAATGTTCAAATATAGCTTAGAGAATTTTAAATATTTTTTTAGCTGCCATTACCAACTGCCTTTTTTGCACTACCATAAGTATTGTTGCACTACCATAAGTATTGTATATTGTATATTTTATATTATTGTATACTTTATATTTTATTGTCTATCTTTTAAAAAAAATCTTATTAGCATTAGTAAATGTCTTATCTGCTGTGAAATTGAATGTTTACTTTTAGTATTAGGAAACGTCTTATCTGTTGTGCCTGTTTCACCGTGGGAGAGTGAGAAACGTCCTCTCGATTCCTTTGTGTGTCTGGTGCATGTGAAGTAATTGACATTAAAGCTGACTTTGACACATATAAAAAAGATTATCATTTAGTTGTCTTCACAGAAATGAACAAAATGCTGAGATATAAGCCCACTGTGTATATTTTGTGCACAGTAGGCTAGTTCCTTATGGGAGTCCTTTATCAAAATATTGACTTTGCATCTCAATTAATGAGTAACTTTCTCAGTATTTTCACTTAGTATCTAAATATTTTGACATAATATTTTAAAATAATGAGAAACACTCTCAATAGTTTGACCTAGTATCTCAAAATAATGAGAAGCTTTCTTAATATTTTGACTTAGTATTTCAAAATAATGACTTAGAATCACAGTCATTATTTTGGGAGGCCAAGTCAATCTTTTGAGAAAGTTTCTTTTATTATTATCATTCATTATAATGACTGTCTGAATCCTTTTACCCAGCACATCGGCGGAAATTGGCTTGCATAAATTCTAGAGCAATCTTCAATCAATTGGCACGTGCACTGTGGCTCAAAATACCGACATTTCCGACAGCACTTAAAGGCAGCTGCGGAGGGGCCGACAGTCTGCTCAAATTCACAAAAGCCCCTTTGTCATTTTCTGTTTTACTCCTCCTTCTTATTCCTTTTTCATCTTATTGTTTTTGTGGAACTTAAAAACCGACATAGCAGCCTGATGAACGGTACAAAGAGGACCCCAGGGCCAGTCTATTACTCTTCTGTTTTAGAATTATTAGATTTCCTCTATTAAAAAACTGACTGTAGACGAATGGAGTAGGAGGGATTTCCCTGCTCCAAAAGAAATCTCTTTTTCTCCAGTTTCCATTAGCAGCAGCAGGAGGAGGAGGAGGAGGAGGAGGAGGAGGGGGAGGCTGGACATTCCTCTCATACTGCAGACCAGGCCGGGGGGGGACAACGACTTCCTGCCACTTCTCCTGTACCGCTTCTTTTTTTACGGTTAAACATGAAGTTTACGGGGAAAGACGAAGACTTTATGGCCGCGAACAAGCTCCTACTCCAGGGGATAGGATTCAAACCGACGGCAAGAATCACGGTTGACCGGCGGCAGCCAGTTTTCTTACTGTAGAGAGATTTTCTGGAGCCGTTTCAAGTCCGCGGGGAAGGAGAGGAATAACAGAAAGTTGAAGGACTGGGAGAGTAAACGGAAGAAGCTTCATAAGAAGGTAAAACTGTGCATTTACTCGTATACAAACAGTTTGGTTAACGCTTGTAACGGTCTCCCCACTGACATGTTGCTGGAGTGAAAACATTGGATCATAAACGGACTCCACAGAGAAAACTCCATGTTCCTGTAGGAATATTAAAGTTTGTATCATGAAGGCATCCAGGCAAAAAACTTTTTTCATGCAATCCTTATGTGAGTCACACTGCTTTCATACAGTCTGACTCGGTGAATGGTAAAAGTATTTTCTGCAAACACCGGTAACGGAAGCCTGAATGTGGGTCGTTGTTACCTGAAGGGTTTTTGATAGCAGCTTTTTCAGCTTCAAGTTTGGATTTTCCAGTGCGGGGGGACCACACGAGGGGTCCTTTAAGTGGTTCCAGGGGGTCTTTAGGGACATGGAAAAACATGGAAGTTGTTCTGTCACCAGTGTTGCATACAGTGGTTCTAGAATGAATTTCGAAATTGGGGACATTCAGCTTTGGATGATGTAATTAGGGATGGAAGGTAATTATCGGGGCAGATACTGGGAAATATATGTTGTTATTAGGGATGCACAATAATTATTGAGGCATATAAGTTATGGCCTTTACTGGAAGATTATTTAGATTTATAGGTAGGCTATAGTTAAATTACAGCTGGACCATAATAATAATAGTCAATTTTGAATTCTTATGCAAAACGATTGATAGACTTTATGTTCTATGAAAGCCAAAGTATGTATGTGAAGTTTGATTTGATAAACTTCACTAGAAAAATTAAATGAATATGTTGTTTGTTGTGCTAATAGTGATGTCAGTTAGTTTTGGTTTGATCAGAGCAATGGTATATTAAATTATTAGTCTTTGCTCACTACACCTGGCTATCAAGTGTGTCAAAAGTACAGGTTATGAAGTGCTTTTTAAAATGCAAAAATTTGAAATTATTGGTTATCATATCGGCTGGAAAAAAATCCCTGTATCCCTAGTTATAATACATTATCGGAATCAAAAGTCAGTATAGCTAGGAAAGCCACCCATCCTCTGGATGCCTTCTGTCTCTTGTTTGTGCTTGTACAGTTGTTGTGATTATTCTAGAGGTCACAATAGAAGGTCAGAGGTCAGGGGATCCCTTTGAAAACAACCATACCAGTTTTTCCATCTCCAAAATTTTACCTAAATTTGGAGCGTCATTTGGCCCCCTTCCTGACACGCTATGACATGGTTGGTACCAATGGGTGTCTTTCATATGATACCTGTATTTCACTCCAGCTTTAAAATGGAGAACGCTACAACCTCTGAAAGATAATAATGTTGAATGCGGATGTATTTGTCAGCACGGAGTTGAAGAGGTTACCATAACACCTGAAAGTGGGGGAACAAAAGGTCTTGTTGACCTCCCCGTTCCTGTGCCAGTGGTTGCATACACAAGGTTTCGGTGAGAATGTTCATGTGCTTGCTTAATATGCTTAGCTTGAGATTTCTATCACAGTGTTTACAAGGTTCACAGTAACATGATATAATTTGACAGGCTGGTGAACTAAGGGTTGGTCTGGAAGCCAGCAACATGTTGCTAGGTCTGTTAATCCAACAGTATGCCAACACAAGATTTTCCCTGGCCACCCCTTTGAGAAGTTTCAGGAAGCGCCACTGTTTGTATGTCAGTGCTTTATCAAACTGACAAGTTAATTTCCTGTTGTGTACTGGTTATCATGTTTCTAACAATGACAATATGTGATAATGCCATAAGTTCTCTCTTTTGCACCTTGTGTTTAGTTCTTGGAAACAGACAGAGACATAATGCCCATTACCTGAGACAGACTGTATGTGTGTAATGGCAGGTGTGTATACAGTATATTTCAATAAACACAGGCTTTCAGTACATTTATCCTTCAGCAATGTGAATGACATTAGTGATGTGAAATCAGGGACATGTCTCCGTGTTGATCCAGCCTGTGTGTGGCAGCTGGAATGTTAAGGAGGTAAAACCGTGGCATGTGACCTCCAACACACCGTGGTTACTGTTTAAGGGAAGAAATTCCCTAAGTGTGTCCACTAATCAGAAGGTTGGAGGTTTGATCCTCCTCCCCCTGCTGCATAAGCTACTATACTGAAGACATAGTAATATTTTAGTAACAATAAATGGCCTGCTTCTGAAGAAGAAGAGCTGCTGTTCAGCGGCGCAGTATGCACACTCAGCTGAAAATGAGTGAGCGAAAAATAGCTCTAGAGCCAGAATATTTTCACATCTAACTGGTGAATTAAGGACCAGGACTGTTACTCCAGGGAAGATGAAGACACGGCAGGGACAGGCTGGCACAGCACACATGTTTATGCGAATATATTAGCAATCGCCAGTTTTTAGACTGACTGTGGCCAGTTGAAATATTTTAACATATCTCCCAACCCTAGTTTGTATGTCTTTGAGCTACAAGTTGTGCTCTCTTCGAAAAAGGCACAACATTATTTGATATTGTGAGTAGAGCTGGTGGAATGCTGCTGTCCCACACATTAAAGAATTTAGATTTCAGTAATAATAGAACTGTGACTGGAAAGTAACTTATATTGATGGGTTTCTAAGAGGTTTTCTAAAACTGATTAACTGTAAGTTGAATTCATTTTTATGATGTCATATTTTGGAGGGGGATTGCTGCAAGTCTGCAAGATATGCAGCATTTGTCCCTATGCATGACTAAGGTATTCCGACAGTACATGTAAACAAGTTAGGTAGGTAACAGATAATCTGACTTGTAACAACTTCGGCTCTTAACATCTTTGAGGTCACAGCGGCCCCTCAAGACTCTCCCTATACTTCCATGCAGGAAATATTTGAGTGTGAATGAAAACCCCCTACAGATTAGAGACTGAGGGGCCCACTGGGTTTGATTCAGAGCCTAGAAATTCCTCTCACCGCTTGGCTTCTCAGTGATATAAACACTTCTTGCACTACTTTTATCACTTTCTTCCAGCTTCTGCCTCTCTCCCTCTTGTTTTCTCGCTCCTCCCCCTCTCCATTTTCCTAACTTCCTGTCATCTGCTCTGCCCGTTTTATTATTTTGTTCAAAGCCCTGGCAGATTTTTTAAACGGATATAGTGGAATTCAGGGTAGTTTGATGCCTTCTTTTGAAAAGTCAGTTTGAAGCAATAGTCCAGAAAGTAGGGATGCACGATATATCGGCATTAATATCGGTATCGGGCGATCTTCGTCATTTTTTAACATATCGGCATCGGTCCAATGAGTAAAATTGGGCCGATATCCACAACCGATGTATATCCTCTAGTTGCTGTTTGTGTGTCGGGAGAGGGAGAAGGAGGGGAAGGGGGATTTGGCCATGTGTATTTGTTTGGGCACGCGACAGTGGCAGCACAGGATTGTGGGATGTTAAACTGAAGAGGAGAAAAAATGTCAGCGGTGTGGGCGTTTTTCACGGTGTCAAAAGAAGACACTCGAAAAGCAGTATGCAACACCTGCAAAGTCGAGGTAATGCGAGGAGGATGCCGCGTCAAGTCATTCAATACCACAAATTGAATATGTCATTTGAAAAACCGCCACCCAGAACTACACGAACAATTACAGGAAGCAAATGCTGCTAACGTTAGCCAGCAGGCAAAACCAAAGCAGGTGCAGCTGCAGCTGGGAGCCCAATACAGCAGGTACTCGACCAGACCAAGGAATTTGCCAATGGCAGCGCAAAAGCCAGGTCAATAACCAACAAGGTAATGGAAATGATTGCTCTTGACAACCAGCCATTTTCCATAGTGGAGGACCGAGGATTTCGGTTGATAGAGCATATTGAACCCCGCTACAGCCTGCCAAGTCGGCGCTACTTTTCCGACGTCTCCCTCCCTGCTTTGTACGAAGTCGTGGCCACGCATATCCACAAATTGTTGGACAGTGTGACTGACATTAGCTTCACTACAGATATATGGAGTTCGGACGTAAGTCAGATGAGTATGTTGAGCCTTACTGCTCAGTGGATTGATGGAAACTTTGAAATGAAGAGAGCTGTTTTACATGCGCAAGAGTTTGCAGGATCGCATACGGGGGTCGCCATCGCTGGCGCATTTGACTGCATGTTTGCTACGTGGAAAATTACAGTGCAAGTTGAAAAACTGTGCACTAACAGTCAGGACATGTTTTGGATATTTTGATTTAGCCTTTTTCACAGATTTGAGTTTAACTGGAGTGCACAGAGCTGAAAACATGTTGCCATGAATACTGGCATGTTTGATAAGTGGTAAAGGTTGGTTACTTATGTTTTATGGTAGCCCTGTAACTTTGTTATTTGGAAGTAAAATACGTTCTGAAAATAAAGGAAGTCTGTACTAAATTTTATCATCTCAGAAACTTTTTTAAAAAACATATATCGATATCGGTAAATATCGGTTATCGGCCATAACAGCAAAATTAATATCGGATATCGGTATCGGCCAAAATTTTCATATCGGTGCATCCCTACCGGAAAGCATTACCATGGGTAATCCGGCATGAAGTTCATATGTTCATACCAATTGCACAGTATCTGTCAGTGTTGCTTTCATGGTGTGCTATGGCTCAGTCACGACTCCAGCATCTACTGGAGATGTTTCAGAAGCGGATCATCTGTTCTTCAACTAACCCTTTTCTTATGCAGTTTAGCTATTATTCGTGTTATACAAGCATACACATTTGCAGCTCATTAAGAGATCCAGTGTGTGACATTTAGGAGGATCTGTTGCTAAAAATGGATATATAATAGTCATAGGTATGATTTCATTAGTGAATAATGACCTGAAAATGGGAATGGTTGTATTTTTGTTACCTTAGAATGTATGTTTCTACATTAGCCCAGAATGGACAAACCATCGTTTTTCCCCCATACACATTTGGATGGAGTGGTTAAGTGGGTGGCTTATCAGTTGGTTGCAAGCAAAGTGTTTTGGCAAGAATTTGGCGAAACTATACGTTTCATGATACAGGGCTTACGATTCAATATATTGTGACACTGTAACAAGCAATATATTGCGTTTTTTTTACAAGCTA